TGGCAGTAAAAAAATTCAACCATTTTTCCAAATGGTGTTTTGGATGTGTGAAAGGGTCTAATGATTTGTGTGTGTTTTTCTTCATTCCTATAGGGAAGAATACAATTGCATCGTCTCATGAATTGTATTGTTCTTCAAATACTTTCACATTTAAAATCAAACCTTATTTAGCTTCAAAAACTTGGATGAAATTTTGATTGAAACAAAGGTAGGTGCAGGATCACACATAGAGAGAAAGAATTAAACTGAGGGATCCAATGTATGGGACAAAATAGTTCATAACATACTGTACATGCAAGTCCCTTTGAAAGAACTACATGTATGACCAATACACATACAAAATTAAATCTGTCTTCTTTGAAATTCTGGGCAAAATAAACAGCAATCTTTCACCATCAATACACTTTAGGCACTACCACCATGCATCAAATCACCCAATCACTACAAAGTGTTCCACAAAGTACTTAAATGCCTCGATAGCACCTCCAGCTTTAATGTGACTAAATGCACACCACTTAAAAGTGACCATGATAGGAGTTAACAAATGACTAATGTGCCATACATGAAGCATCACTCTGTCTCGGTATCTGACAGTTAGCGAGTGAGAAACAGAGAGAGAGAAAGAGAGAGATAAAGAGAGAAAGAGAGAGATAAAGAGAGACAGAGAGAGATAAAGAGAGACAGAGAGAGAGAGATAAATAGAGAAAGAGAAAGAAATGAGACAGGAAGAGGGTGAAGAAGATTAATATACTGAATATAGACAGAGAGAGAAAGAGCATCCATGGGGAGAGGGAATGGAAGGAGAGTGAAAATGAAAGAGAAAGAAAGGAATTTGAGAGAATGAGAAAGAGGGGAGAGAATGAGAAAGAGGGGAGGGAATTTGAGACTACAAGCGAGAGGGGAGAAAACAAGAGTGACAGAGAGAGAGAGAGACAGAGTGAGTGAAATAGAGAAACTCTAGTCAGAGAGAGAGGGACAGAGAGAGAGAGAGAGAGTGTGTGTGTGCGTGTGGGCGTGTGTGTGAATGAGAGAGAGAGAGGGACAGAGAGAGAGGGGGACAGAGAGAGAGAGAGAGTGTGTGTGTGTGTGCGTGTGGGTGTGCATGTGTGTGAATGAGAGAGAAAGATAGAGAGAGAGAGAGAAAGAGAGAGGGAGAGAGAGGGAGAGAGAGAACAGAGAGAGAGAGAGAGAGAGAACAGAGAGTGGGAGAGAGAGGTAAGGTGGAGTTGAGTAGGTGAGAGAGAACTAGAGTAGAGAGGGGAAAGGTGGAGTTGGGTAGGTGAGAGAGAACTAGAGTAGAGAGGGTAGAAAAGAAGAGTGACACAGAGAGAGACAGAGTGAGTGAAATAGAGAAACTGTAGTAAGAGAGAGGGACAGAGAGAGAGAGAGAGAGAACAGAGAGTGGGAGAGAGAGGTAAGGTGGAGTTGAGTAGGTGAGAGAGAACTAGAGTAGATTGGAGGGAAAGCTGATCCATTATAGGTGAGGTATAATGGCATTATCAGTCTCATTAACATCACTTACTCTTCTGGCTGGATGGCCAGTTCATACACAGGGAATGAACGCGGCCACCTGCCTGCCTGCCTTGTTTGTTATTCATACACATACAACCTGTAAATGTACGTGTCTTATATAGAACACATCTGAAGGAGATAAATTCTGAGCCAACGGGTTGAATTTTTATAAATTGATCTGCTACAGAAGCTTAATACTTCTGAGAATATAAAGAATATTCAAATTCATGAAAACAGCTTTTAAGGTACAAATTTGCTATCATGATTTGTAACTTGACACATGTACAACTGTACAGGCCATGACTGATGTATAAACAAAGAGATACGGTAGATAAGATACAGAAAGGGAAAGAGACAGATATAGAAAGAGATGGATATAGAAAGAGATAGATGAAGAAAGATATAGAAAGAGTGAGAGTGAGAGAGAAAATAGCGGTGATCAATACATGCACAAACGGCCCTCAAACGGTAATCAAGGAAAATTACTTTTGCACAAAACATATTTTCTATAACACCTGTACATGTACATGTACATGTGCCAAGTCATACACTTTCTGTGCAATCACCATTTAGAGGCAATTAGGTCAAGAACCTGTCAACACAATTCCTCTGCAAAAGTAGAGTCCCTCAAAGGGCCTTCATGTGTGAGAGAATGCACACTGAACTATACCTGTACATGTACTGTACGTGGTGAAGCATTAAAATCTCTAGAGGGTCAAAAGTTGACATGCATACATGTATTGGAAATAAGGATGTACTGTACTTACATGTATCATTTACAAGTTGTTGCCTATAACATTGGACTATTTGTTTTAAAACATCTTTTTTCTTGAAATGATTGGAGCGATATGGTTTATTCTGGATAAAATTTATCAGAAATGTTATCAATCCTTGACTCTTTTAGATTGATCAATACAATTCTGACAAGAAATGAAATTTATCTATCAAGAAATATCAATTTTCTCAAAATCACTTCAAGAGTTTAACAGAAATTTAATCCAACCTTATGGGCAAAAGTGTATACTCTACCTACATGAACATGTATGTATTTAAACATGTATGTACTGCTGGAGTAACATCACTTTTGCACTATTACACACGAAAGGCCTATAGATTCACACATTTCTTCTTCCTTTTTTTAAAGAAAAACTTATATTTTCATATATTGAAATGTTCACATCTAATGAAGATAGCTCCTGTTAAAATACCTAATCTTAAAAGAGACCCAATATCAGGGAAGACTTTTCTTTTTAACATAAAAATTTCTCTTCATCCAATGTGTAAACACTGTGCACGATCGCCTTTAAAGGTGTAATACAGTTAACTCTGCATAAGTCGAATCTGTCAGGACCGCACAATATTATTAGACTTATGCTTTAAAAAAACTTCTTGAAGGTCAAGGTTAAATGTAAAGTACTGCATGATACTTCAAAATAAATCATAATAATATTACAAACATGAAACCCCAGCTTCAACTAATTTCTACTAATTTAATAACCAATATTATCAGATCATTTGTTTTCTGATTTAGTCCACATCTACTGTAGATCTTGTATACATTGGGCATATTCATTTTTGGATGGAAAACAAATCTCAATCCTTACTTCAAAGCCGCGGAAATAACAAGCTTGCAGGGTCCTTAGGGAGAAAAGTATTAATACTGTTGAGGCTTCCTTAGGTAAAGAATATTATATTCATAAAAATATTTAAAAGATTACTGAGTTGATCAAAAATACTAATATCTGAAGAAAATAAAGTTGATTCTGGGATAGAAAGGAATTTTAGAACCAGTATTTGTGATTTTTTTCCTTCTAAGATGATATTTTGTCTACCATGTGATTTTAGTTCTGAAAATGATTGTATCCTATTAAAATGTTATTACATGAAGATAGTCCAGCCCTATTTAGAGGTAAGATCAGATAAAACATTGAGGAAATTATACATTTTAAGTCGATTGTGTGATTTATGGTACACAAAGATGAAGGAATATGCTTGTAAATTTCATCATAAATAAGAATAAAAATGAATGGAATCAAGATAAAAACTTGATTTAAATAATACAGTATACATCTATAGATATACATGTACTCTCAATGAGTAGAAATTGTGTTTAGAGAGGAAAAAGCCAAAACATTCACTCAATAATGAAATAATTTGAAGTAATCAAAAATGACGGTATGCGTAATATGACAAATAAAAGAAGCTTGACAAGAGACCTTTTCCTAAATTCTCCGGTTCTTTAAAAACGCACTTCATTTCATCTCGCCCATCACATCATATAACTTCTGACTGCCGGGCACTAAGCTAACATTTCAAAGATGCAACTCGACACATACCCGCCTTATTTTCTTTCAAAAATTCATGAGTTGCCCTGAAGCATGGCAAATATATATTTCTGCATTTCATGCAGTCAAGACACGACATACAATGTACTCTGTGCTGTGAGATACTATCTCTATGTCTTGACGTCAATAAGGCTTTCAATAAGGGGCGTTCAATATCTTGTATGGTATATCATGTATGGGCAAAGGCTGGTTGTTATTGTGTTTGGGTGCTATGGGCAGGGAAAGCTAGGGGGGGGGGGATTGCACAGAAAACCAATATCACAGTGCTCATATTCGAGTACTTGGTAAAGTTCAAAGGAAACGTTTACAAGAATGCAAATAATGTGTATGTCTAGTTAATATTGGACATGTACACATGTAGACCACTTCATGCCGGATGAGCAATAAAATCCATAGAGCTTTAGTTTGGTTCTATTTACAACAGAGCCCATAAACAGAGTCACCATTAATTAATGCTGACGAATCAATGTATGCAAAATACTTAACCTGAAAGCATTTTGGGAGTCGTGGTGTTAATGCATTATAGATTATTCAGGGTCACAAATTAATGACAAAAAGGGACACCCATACAGGACAATACTTAATTAGCAAATGCTAATCCCCTATTTCCTGTTCTATAAAGTGCATACGTGTATTATGTTCAGTGTATAATGTACATTGTACATCAACACAGGGTAAAGAGATTGTTTGAAATGGATACTCTTCACTCGATTGTAAACAAAGAGTCTTGTAAACATGTACATGTAACCCTGTAAACGATCATCGAATCGGACGCCGATACCGATCCGATCAGGGGTGATCGGATAATAATTACCGATCGCCGATCAATTAAAAAGTCATGAAAAGGCACTCAATATCAACAAACATGGTCTACGACAACTCCAAATGACAAAATAATCCCAGCCACGTTTTTTTTTGAGCATTTGATAGCCAAAAACTTGAAAATTTTCGTCATTTAAAAAAAAAAAAAAATGGGTCGGCCAATTTTTTTGGTCGATCTTCCGATCCGATACCGATCAAAGGTGCGAGGGTGTCACTCCGATCTTCCGATCCGATCAGAGCTCCAACTTACAGGGTTATATACATGTATCTATTTTAGTAAAAAATGGTATTTCCAACAGATGGTTGTATTTTTCTCATTAATTTTGTCAGTATTTCTTTTTGCAATTTAATCATACACTGCATTGTTAATACAAGGAGGCTGTATCACTTTACTTGAATAATTGATAAAGTCTGGGAGTGCCCTAAATGTTAGATGGTAATCTGATCAGGATCCCTTTGGAGTGCCATGTAGGTCCTGAAATTATAAAGTGTACCAGCTACCTAAAAGAAAATATCATTTGTATACAGCTAGAATGCATAGAATCAGCCTCAATATAGGCCAGCTGATAAGGAGTTGGGATCTGTGCGAGCCCTAATTCCATGTGTCAAGTAATAGACTCACAAGTCGCTCTTACATGAACATGTTTGTTTATTAACCAAGGGTGTATTTAATGTTGGAGTATCTCTTCATAGAAGTAATGTTAGAAGCTCATAGTTTTAATATTATATAGCCTGATGGAACCTTTTACATACAGAACAAAATACATTTGGTGGTTCGAACACTTTAATAACATGTTTTATATTCCTAGTTTATACTTAGCGCTTAGAGACTTCGGTGGTAAGCGCTTTCTAAGCACCATTTTAATTACTATTATCATTACTTTGAAGTCTTGACGATTCAAATATTTTTTGTTTGTGCACTGTTCCTACTATGTATTATATCTCGATGTAACCCACTGAATTTTATTATCTGTAAACAATAATTTTACATGGTGAATAAAACAAACAAACAAACAAACAAACAAACAAACTCACCTCATCGGTCTGCATGTTGGATTGCATCTGGATCTCCTCCAGCTCAGAGCGCATGTTCATGTCATTCTGGTCTTCCATCTTGATTTACTTGTCGTGGGGTAACTTTGGGAAGTTTAAACTTTCAAGTCGTCTTTCAGCCTTCCTGGTATTATTTACAGAGTGCTTCTAGGTATTATTGCCTCTAGGTCTCGATTATTGCCCTCTCTTGGAATGCTTTTGAGGATTCAACGATGCCTGGCGAACTCTTTGATATGGAATAGATGCTACCAGTATCGTTCAAATCCTCTGTGCATTTAGATCTGTAAATGAAGAAGAAAAAAAATGGAATAATGAAATTCATTCGAAATTGGCAGTAATTTTCTTATGAACTGAAAAATAAGACTGAATCAGATTTATTCTAGAATGAATACAAACATCAGCTAAAAGTATAATATTTGATCCTTCAGTTTCATGGTCACAAATGTGTACGATCTAACATACACTGTACACATGTGCAATACATACAATGATAAATCCTCATGTTATTGGTTATTGGTCGCACAACACAAAGTGATAACAATGATAATTCACAAGATTCACATGACACCAAACATGAATATGTTAAACATGCTCAAATGTGCATTCTTCAAATAAGTTTAATTGCACATCTGATGTAAGATGTGAATTTAAAGGTATGACTGACAGATGCTCCAGGAAAATTTGTTTGTTTTTATTTTCATCTATCATAGCTTCAGTAAGAGTGAGTTCATCTAAAATAGCCCAGTGTACTTCATTCATATCCACAAAATGCTTGCATCCCAAACGCTGTAATAATATCGGTGAGTTCTGATTAGAAATTCACCCTGGCACCAGGCAGGCAGGGAAGTGCCTTAAGACAAGTAAGGTGTCATCCCCGCTACAACTTTGACACGGGACGCCATCCAATATTAAGATGTGGGTCCATGCACTTTAATACATTACAAGCAAATACACAAGCTCCAATGTGCCTACATACACCCTGTACATGTATATTGTGCATGATTTAACTAGGTATTTCCCCAAGATGGCCGGCAAGGAAGTGGCACATTTCACAGGAATGTAAATGGAAACCCCTCATTAATATTTGAGCAGTTCTAAACTTTGGGGAAACCAAGAAGGTCCCTGACTCTCATGAAATATAAAAGAGCCTGTAAGCAGTAAATGTTGATTGTGTGGTTACTGTATAGTGACCCACTTCATCAAGACAAACAAATCAAAAATTCATGACCACTTGACAAATTAGGAGGCAAAGCAGGCATAGCTTAACCTACAAATTATCAGTACATGTATGTATGAGGGTGTACACATGTATGTACATGTATAATGTGCATGTACTGTACATCATCAAGTATTTCAATGTAATATTCTTCTTTCTTTTAGCATGCTTTTTGAAATACACTTGGAGCTACACAGTACATTCATAAATCTTCAATGTTTTTTTTAAATAGTTGATTATATCATGTAAATATATATAAATCTTATTCATTTCGATATGATATTTCAAACATCTCACTCCATATTATTCTAGTGAGATTTTAATTAATCATGAACCTTTATTTGTATCATATTAATTATCATTAACACTTGCTGTATTTCTTGTACTTTTTTCTTTACCCCAACCCTACATTCACACCTGAATTTCTCTTCTCCAGTCTAAAATAGGATCCCCCTTACTCCCCCCCCCCATCCCCCTTCCCCTGCCCTTCCCTCCCTACCCTATGAAGATGTCAAATATCCCAGCTTCATACCAGATACAATGTAGCACATGGATTTCAGACATTCACACCGTTAATTCAACACAGCAGTGAAATGTATCACCGAGGAATCTCTACATGTAATACAATAACACCTCTCTTAACACAAGTGTCCTCTCATCCTTACCTAATGTACATACCAGAGCTGCCAACCTTGTGCGACCAAAAAAAGGAATCATGATGGCGAAAAAAAGGAATTTCAAGCAAAAAAAAGGAATACATAAAAACGAAACTTACAACCACGCGGACACACTTCCAATGCAGAAATGTTCATTCATCAAGCTGTTTTTTCCATACAAGCAAGTCATTTTTTTGGTGGTTATTTTGGTATTATCGGCATTTCATTTTTTTTAGAGAATATTGTTCTCTTCAAGTATGTTTTAAAATTAGTTTTCTATTGAATTTGTGATCAAATCACCATTTTAGGGCAGTTGTTTGACGTGCGGTATGTAAAAAAAAAAAAAAAAAAAAAAAAATTATTAAAAAATGTATTTTATGAAGAAAAAACGTAATACCGTAATTTGGAGGGAAAAAACGGAGTAATTCCGGCAAAAAAGGAATGGTTGGCAGCTCTGACATACCCTTGTACAGTGGAACATACTGTACATGTACATACATGTATGTATGTATGTACATTAATTATAAAGAATGCTGTTGTAAGCTGCTGTAAATATTACAAACAGGCTAATTTAGCCAGTTACACTTCTCTGTGTATTCTAAAATGTTTGCCCTGATAAAACAAAGTTTAAGAACAAGGTAAAGTCCTTGGTCCGAGTTTGTTATATGTACACATGTACTGTACACTGCAGGCTCCACTAATAGTTGCATTTATCTACAATGAAGGTTATAGCTATTGCTCTCTCCCCAAACCATCATTTAAAGTTTATACATGAATAGAAATTGGTTCAACCACCAGCAAAATAATTACCATAGCTTACATCCATGTCCATGAGAACATCTCACCCAAAATACCTTTTATTTTTCATGAGTCAATTTGAAATCAATAATTGATTATGCACAAGTTATGTTACCATCTGGACTGCAGTTGATCTTTTAACCTTTATTGAAACTGTTACATAACATAGGGCCGGTACTGATCTATTGCTTTAATACGGGACTTTGCCATAAAATCTCAAAATAAGTACATGTACGTACAGTGTAAGTCTATGAAGGAAAAAGACATTTTATGAAACAAGTTTATTCATTACTATTATATAATTACTATATTATTCATTTAAATTATCAGTAATTATATACGTGTACACCCTGTAACTACAGTATAATCACTTATCTGTCCCAGTGTATGTTAAAGCTTACATCCAGGGTACAACAAAGGCCCCATTTCAACCGGTCCACATTTCATTCTTGAGTTACGAAAATACAAAAAAACATCAAATCTACAAACTGTACATGTCACATCATAAAGGTCTGTAGTAGGAACAGATTCCAAAATTACAGAATAAAAGTGTTACATTTTCATGTAAATCATTTTGGTGTAAATACATGGATAATATTAAACATTGGGCAGCTACATGTACAAGTGGGTCCCTACTTATACATGATGCACAACAGTGTGCAGATCTTATTATGCACACAAGTTACCTATGTCTGGCTTGATGTCGGCTGCCAAATTAACCCTTGCCAAAAAGCAATATTGCTGTGCACGGTGCCTCCAGATTTGGGTGTACATGCACACACATGAGCCGTGCTCATCATTTCTAGGAGGGTACAACGAGTATGCATTATGTAGGAATGGTGCTGGTGGGAAGGGTTGGATATGATGTCACGTTAGGAATGGAAATGTACATGTATACATTGAAATGTACTACAGGGTAGGGATGAGCGGTCAGACTGCTCAGTATTCAGGTTGTTGATTGAGAGGAATGTACATGTAATTCAAACTTATAGCGGAAAGGTGTAACATTACAGATTTCTATGTTTGTTGCTTTTGTTTTATAGGGGGTTGTAAAAGTGGAATTAATGTGTATGAGATATGATTTGCAACTTGAATTGTTCACTTCCATCCATTTGGCATACAGTGTACATGTCCTTTTTCTGCACACAGTGGTACTGAATGCCACTCTTTACATTTTAATTACATGGTAAACACTAAAATACTAAATGTTACTACCAGTCTTCATTATCAACAAGACATTGCTGAACTGTAGGCTACATTCGTAGCTTAAAGATGTAAGAGATAATTTTCTCATATTAACAATAGCTCTTTGGGTTGCTATAGTTACAGAAACACATTTTACATACTTTTTTTATTATTATCAGCTTTAGAGCTCTTTAAAAAAAAAACACTCTTTTACGGCTTTGCAGAGCTTATCCATTTCCCATACACAAAAGAAGAAAAAGATTTTTTACAATGCAGAATAGCCGTTTTGGCATAAATTGGATATCAAGCTTGAGAGGGAAGTCTTTAGGGTAGGAAAAAGTACACTCTACACTTCCTGCAAAGATCATCCAACTTAAATGTTGTCAACAGGAAAATCATTTCTCTTTTAAACACTACAGGTGCAAATTGCACTTGTAGTATTAGGAAATGCAAAGGTAAATTATATTTCACATTATGAACAATCACTTCCCTATAAAAAAATAAAAAAAAACAAGCTACAGGTGTACACTGTATGTACAGCATGTACTAATGTACATGTATGCTACAAATATTAAGATAAAGGTACATACCCGTACATGTACTTTTGAAATGTACCATCATGTACTGTACATGTACATTGTACATGTGCATGTACATGTACACTGTACACTGTATCTATGTGGTCTGAATGTTATTACACAGTATACTTCTGGCTCTACACAGCTTATTTATTTACTATGAAACATTATTATGAACCGACGAGTTCCAAATATATATTAGATAATTACTGTATGGATTTGCGTTAATAATATCGATAAGGAATTATGCTCTGGCAGCAATTACTCCATATCAAATATACTACACTGACTGAATTCCTACCTTCAACCCTAACTCAAACCTAAAACAAAACTGCAACCCTCATCCTAACCCTACATCTTTGACAAAATAAAGCCCAGAGTGATTATTCTCCCAGGAGAAAATGAAATTGGTCCAAACATCTATAAATGTAAATGTAGAGTAGTCCTTACAAGAATCAAACACATTATGTACACAGGTTAATGTCTTGTATGATGTTGGAGAAAAGGTTTTACATTCAATTTTTCAATAGATAACGTTTACATGAAAAAATAGTATCTTGATCATGGCATATATACATTATACAGATGTAAACTGACATTGCATTTTCAAATTGCAAAGGGAAACACAGGTTCCTTTAGTACATGTTTCAAGGAAAAACCATTTTCAAGGGAAATGAAAAATGTGGTCTTTGTACAGTGTAGACAAGTGGTCACTATAAAAGCAGGTTTGACTGTATTTATAATTTGATTTCATCATCAAAATCTGTCACCTCAATATGCCTCTACTCCAATCATTCTAAACAGTTGTTTGTATATCCCAAAAGACAGTTTCTGGTTTTCTTTTCAAT